TAAGCCTGCAGTCTGAGAGTAAAGTTCTCTGTTAGGAAAATATGGAACAATAAGATCTCAAAATAGAAGATGGAGCTAGGTTGTTGATGGCTTTGTAGGTTAGAAGTAAGATTTTGAATCCAATTCTGGATTTGACAGGGAGCCAATGGAGAGAAGCTAAAACTGGAGAGACATGATCTCTCCTACTAACTCCAGTTAAGCAGCATTTTGGATCAACTGAAAACTTTTAAAAGAAGTATTTGGACTCCCAGATAACAAACCAGTGCAATAGTCCAGTCTAGATGTGACAAATGCATGAACCAGTTTCTCAGCATCATTTTTAGATAAGCTGTTTCTAATTCTAATAACCACCATGAACTGGTGCCTTTAAAGTTTCTTCTGACCTGTATAATGTCCGAATGTTTCTGCACATTCACTACTCAGCGACACAAGTACTTTGATCGGCTGGAGAGTAGAAAAGCATCTCTTTGTTTATTTTCTTATATAAGTTCCCGTTTGGATAAAAGGATTAATGGTGTAGTTTTTGTCAATTGAGGGGTTTTGTTTGGCATTTCAAATAAATAAATTGCTAAAAGGTAAATAGCTTTTTTTTTTTTTTTACAGTGTAAGAAAACCAAAAAGTTAGAATTAGGCTTTCAGTTATAGAAAAAACAACATTAAAACAAATTTTCTAAAAGTTTTGAGAGCCAAATCAGGTTTTAGTCACATTTATACTCAAAGTAAAGAAAGTTCTTGACATTTGATACTTTAATACTTTTCTGTAAACAATTGGACGTCACATCATACCATCTTGAGCTGATCCATTGTGCCATAGTAGATGAAAAGAGTTAAGCTCCAACTGCTGCTGGCTAAATCCAGCCTTAGCACAGTGACAGATGCCATCCTAATGGACGCCTGCGCTTCCTGGATTGACAGTATGGCATAAATATCAACAGGGAGTTAGAAATCAAACCCCTGCTGAGAAAAATATCAGCTGTTTTAAATTATCAAAAATAACTTGGGAAAAGAGATGAGGAAATCAGATCCGACTTCCATGTTTATTCACTGATGGACGTGATGGAAGTTTGTGATTACTCACCCATCTATAAATTTACAGGAACAAAATGCTTTTTACCTTCCAGTTTCACCCATCAGTTTGCAGTAAAACTACATTTAAGCGTGAACTTTAAGATTCTATAATTATTTTATGTTAATCTAATTCATTATTTGCTATAAAAGCTGTCCAATCGTACAATAAACTCATGTTGGATGTAAATGCTTCATCGTTGTTGTGCATGCATCATCAACAATTGTGTCTTTATAAAAAGCACCTAGCAACTTATAATTCCTAATGCGCATGTTGGTTATTCCCGTGACCACATGGAGAGGTGACCCTGCCATTTTCTTCCCAATTACTGGAGGAGATCTTTCACTGGAACACAACGGGAGGTAGGGAAGCTTTATTGTGGATGAAAATATCAGCCAGGGCTCGTGGCGTTCAGAGTCACACGGCTTTACAGCTGGGGTGATGGGCAGAGAGAGACGAATGCAAAAGAACCGCTCATATTTACTGTCAGAATGGAAAACTTTGGCATGGAACCAGTTTGGCATTACAAAGCTACATGTTGCACAAAGAATGGACGTTTGTTCTAAATCAAGGCGTTCCCTCGTAAACTCACTGACCTGAATGATAAGAGTCAAAGGAGCAGAAAAATGTTTGCTTTCATGAGTTTGGAGGACTCACAACCAAAAGAAACCTGTTCCAACCTCTGAAGGAAATATACTAAGAAGTAAAGCTAAACTCTTAGCACGACATATACACATGGACATCAACGTTGTTCTCTTTTCTGGAAACAAACTGTTCAAGTCTGGATGAGCATTTGGGAGCCTGTTAGTTCAGTCAAGCATCATGCTGGTTTATGCTCATTTCCTTCAACACCTCGTGCTTTCCCGACTGCCTACCATTCGGTTTTATATCAGAATATAAGATTCAGAATCAGAATAAGCTTTACTGTCATTGCACAGTGAAGTACATCAAAATTACTTTCTGTACTGCCGTCCTAACGATGGATGGAAGTGTGCAGGGGGCTATTCTAAGAAGCCCAGAGCAGAGCTTTTTGATTTACATATCCACCAGGAGCAATTTGAGGTAAGTTAGCCTTCCAAGGCCAAGCGGGGAGGCCAGATTCAGATAAACAACAATTGTTTGGGCAGGTAGACTCTGATTCATGTCTGCCTTCAGTTCTGCTGGAACTCTCGATGGCGAATCCATACAGCCAGATTTGTAGACATTCTGCTAGTTCGTGCTTTGCTAGCTTTTCTCTGAGGTCGAATCCTTCCTGTTTCAAGAGCCACAAGTGGCATACGATTCTCAGAAATCGTGTTCATCTTACGGTTGAGCTTGCAAAGCATATGAGCATGAGAGCTTGAAGAGCGCATTAATCCTTCACATAAGGTTGGCAGCTTTACCATGCCCGAAACTGCTGCAGATGTGTTCCCAATTTGTCAATATCCCAGGTACTGTATTTGCCGATTCCAAAAGGCAGAATCCCTGTTCTCATAAATCCAACAATCTACATGTCTGCTACGTCCTCCACGGACAGAACAGACAGGTACATCATCTTCCACTGCCCCCAGGAATCCATGACATACCCAGCTATGTGTGTCCGTCTTTTGGTCAAAAAAATGTATCAATTGCGTTGCGAGACCAGCTGACCAGATCCATAATAATAATTTATTATTTGGAAGATGTGTAAAGAGAGGTTCTGATACACGGGACAAATAGAAAAAAGCAGGAGGAAGACAGGGAGGGAAGAAAAGCATCCGTCTTGTTTGAGGGCAAGTAAGACCGTCCTTCCTGCAACGTTACCTCAACGTTGCCACAAATAGTGATAAGGTGCCTTTTACGTGAAATTATCAAGTAAAAATGTGCACTACATGTGCCAAGAGTTTCCATCAAAGGTCTGTTTGGATGTATTTTAGTTCAAAACTCTTTTTGCGTTTGTGTCAACAACAAAGATGTGATGAACTGATTAGATAATTGCGAGAACAATTAAATGAAGAAGTGCGTATTACCACCTCATTGAATGTCAAAAAGTTTTAAACAAAAGTCTCACGATCTTTTAGCGCTCAGCGTATGTGTTGGAAATAAGTCTCAGCTACTACTACATGAAATGTTAGCTCAGTATCAGTAAAAATGACATAGTTATAGCTATTTTTTTATTTGATAAAAGATAGTTAGCTGTGGAGACCAGGCTGAGATCAAAAGATAGTTTACTTTCTGAGAGTTTTCGTTAAAATCCATCTACTGGTTTATGAAATATTTTGCTAACAGACAGACACGTTAACACGATTGCATACCATTTGTGGCACTGGAGGCAACACACCAAGAACCATAGTAGCAAAACTAGCACTTTAATAAACAATGCAAAACAGAAAGTGTAACTTTGAGAGCAATTTTTTTTTTTTAAATTAGTTGATGTGGTCAAACTATTTTAAATGCAAACTGCACTTTTTAGTGAGAAAACATAATGGGGAAAAAGGTAAACAATGGAGTCCTTAGATTTATTCAGAGTATTCCTTCTTCATTTAATGTGTCCCTTACGTCAGGTCAGTGTTATTGTCACCTACTGATGGTTATTTCAAACTTTTTGTTGGAATGTCTGAGTTTTAAAACATATTGTGGCAAAAATATTCAGATTTTCGAGGATTTATTTAAAAAAAAATCACAGTGTTATCTTTTCAGCATTGTATATACCTGAACTTCTATACTTCCCAATTATCAGCTTAACTGAGCCATAATAAAGTAAAGAGTCAGCTGTTGGCTAAAAAAAATGTCTTTTTTCCCTTCTGCTTGATTCAGGGTGCGTTCAAAAGCCATTTTAAACAGTTGTAACACAAAAAAGTCACATATCCACAACCTGACACAAAACTATTTATTGATTTTCTTTTTGTCAACTTCTTGAAAATTCTGTTTTTCCCCCAACAATTCTCACTAATAAGCAACATTAAGACTGGCATACTGTAAACATGTGCAGTTCTGGCAGTATGATCAAAATTTGCTACAATCAAAAAAAACCAACATTTTTTATACAAAGGCAGTGAATGCAAAAAACAGGGAATTTAAGTCAATTCACAGCAACACAGCTCATGATTTTATCTCTCTTTTTATTAACTGTAGTGTGTCTGGCTTTAAGAAGGAATTAATTTCTTCCATACATCATCCCTGAGCAAATGATCAGCAAAAATGCAGGCAGTCTGTGTGGAAAACATCATCTGATTTAACACACAGTGTACTGGAATGTAATGTCTTTACAGATTTCTGTTCATATTTACACTAGTTTCTGGTTTCAGTTGATCACAAAGTGGCATTATTTCCTAGCCTCAAACACACATACACACACAGACACACACACAAACTCTCTAACACACACATTAATGACATGACTTACCGATACATCCAAACAGAGAGCTTTATGAATCACATTAAGTCTTTAAAATCAAAGTGAGGGGATTTAAAATGATCCAAGGTGATGTTAGCACCATGTGTGTTTAGTTCAAACCCACTACAGAACAACAATGGTTTTAGAACAAGCACACAAATCACATTTTAATCACAACTTTTAAATACAAATATTTGCCAAACAGTAAAAGGGTATAATTTTCAAAACTCTACTTCACACATATATGATAAAAAAAAAAAAAAAAAAAAAAAAATCACAGTTTTAATACTTTGAGGCTGTGTCAAACTTAGAAACATAGAAAAAAGTTGCCTCTTAGACATGCAAATTGAATAAATGGCTGTTTTTTTTTCAAAGAAGGGCAGTACAACTATCATCAATCTTTGTGTCAGAGCAGAAGCCACTTTATCAAACAGTAGTAATTCTATTTTGGAATTAAACTAATTAAATAATGCTACATGTATCTGCAGTCTCTTTAAAAGAATGCCGTCCCCCCCCCCCCCCCCCCCCACAAAAAAAAAAAAGTTTCAGTATTTACATTTACTTCCCTTTTCTGTCCGAAAATTAATGTTCAACATTGCTGACGCAGGAAAAACACCCAAAGGAAAACTCTCCTTTCGTCACATCCGCACATTTAAAATGTTCTGATAAAATTTTTGTTTAAAAACGGCAACACTGTCCTGACCTCATACTGGCGTGGTCCTCCGGTTTGCTCCATTTTTCACGTCTTTCTGGAAACAGTTGTGGACTTGTAAAAACCCAGCATCTCTCTCAGGGCTATAAGACCGTGCAGGTCCACCTCCACCCTTCAAAGGGTCTCTGCTGAGAGCATAAAGGGATATATCCCCCATCGGTAGACCCATTCCCAAACCTCCCCCTCCAGATCCTCCACCAGTTTTCATTCCCACTGGGGACGGCTCACGCGATGGGTCCGATGATCTTGAACTGGAGCGTGAACGCCTCCGTCTGTAGCGATAACTTGGTATGCGGGAGTACGGTGAAGAGGACGAGGTGGCTTTGATGAAGTCGTGTTTGGCTCTGAAGCGCGTCTCTTTGTTTTTTTCAATGTATATGTTGACTGCGAGAACGCCCACTGACTCTGCCACGATGAAGGAAAGGGCACCGAAGTAAAAGGACCAGCCATAGTTGTACTGGTTCTTCTTATCCTCGTCCTTCTTGTCACTGGGGTCTCCAGCATTACTAGAGATGTAGACGATGATGCCAATGATGTTGCTTAACCCTGGAAGGAGTATAGAAGCAAAAAGACATAGGAAAAGATGAGTGAGATGAAAGAAAAGCTTCTTAAAAAAAGCCTGACATTACTGTCAGAATATGATATGCTTGTCACAGTACTGTGTGGGTGTGAGAAGGTAAACCCTAAATCCATGTAACAAATACTAATCTGCTTGCTTATCCCCTCTTTCTTTCCGTCTGTTGTCTTGAATGTATCGTCATCTAAGTTTGTACATATCTGTGGTGTACTCTTCAGTCTTCTCTTACCTGCAGCCACAAACAGGATGCCTGCACTGAGAAGGATGTTGTTTTTTCTGCTGTAAAGCCTTCCCACGCCGACACACATGCCGCCCAACATCAGAAGGATGGTGCTGAGAATTGGGAACAGACTTGATGCACGGACTATACCTGTTCAAAGCAGACAGAGATATCAGTGTCTTCCAGTCAATGGGAAATATAAATGACTGAGGTAAGCATATAGCATCTTTGTTTGTATTGACATGAACATACAAGTTCCCCAAGGATTAAAACCAAGCCTCTGCAATAAATAACTGGTGATGATAAAGATATTTAGACTTGATTGCAAGCAACAATACGAGACAAAACAAGTTTGGCCCTGTTCAGTGGTGTAAAAAATATCAAGATCAACAAAAGCATTAGTAAATGTTAGGTGGGATTCCTAAAGTCAATATTGTAGCCAGTAGAGAATTTAATCAATTTTAGATCTGTGGGTGGCAGAGGTGGGATTTATCTTCTGGGGAAATAAAATGTTTGCACAATTCATTTAATAGCAACCAAGCATTAACTGTCTAGAATAATGATCTTCAACTGGTGGCCCGAAGGGCATAAATGGTTCACAAGCTTATTGTATTTGGCCCGCAAAGAGTGAAATGAATAATAAACCAACACAATCTGAGAAAATAATCAGTTCACTTCCATCATGTGATGCCAGCTCAGACACACAGTAACAAACCTGCTGCTGATCATGCCAGGGTTCTTTGAGTGTTTGGCGTATTGTTGCTATGTCATGTATCCTCAGGTGAAAGTAAAACAAATTGTCTTTTAACATTGCACTGCTTGATGGAGCTGTTGGTTAGCACCAGTGTTGATTGAAAACCAGTGGTGGAGCAAGCACTCAAACACTGTACTTAAGTAAAAGTACAATTAAACAGACAAAAATGTACTCTAGTAAAAGTAGAAGTACCTCATTGACATTTTTACTTAAGTAAAAATATATAAGTACTTGCTTTTAAAAATACTTAAAGTATTAAAAGTAAAAGTACTTATTAAATGCAATGGTCAACAATATCATTAAGTGTGCCTACCGTGTGTATATTTTCTGTAATACATTAATAGTGTTGAGCCATTTTAATGAACAATGAAGCTGTTAATACATGTTTTTTGTGTTTACTCTGTGACACAGTTCACACTTGGACTTGTGATTCTGTGTGTCAGAATTTCAGGGATGGCAAGCAGAGTTAAATGCCATTAAGCAAAATAAGAGGAATGATTATACTTTTGAAAGTTTTTATTTAACACAAAGAACCAATGTGTCATTTTAATTGCAGTAAACACATTTAAGTAAAAGTTGTCTGCCTGAAAAAAGGAGCATTAGACCTAACAAAGGAACATCTGATCATTTCAACTCCAGTTTACTGTCTAGTCAACCTTGTAATGGGTCAATATTGAACAATATTTTAACTTCCTGACATCATTTTCAAAACTTGGACCTGAGTGTCGAGCCATTTGGAGACATCTTTTGTCTCCTAACTTCCCATGAACTGACACATTTTAATATTGCAGCAAGAATTTCTTGTTCAAGTTCAGAAGAAGTTGGTTTTCAAAGTTTTTTGAGTCCAGTCTGGCTCTTTTGGGAGAGAGAATCTGTCCTGCTGTACTGAATAATCTTTCAATAGTCTTTCAATAATCTTTCAATAGTCTTTCAATAATCTTTCAATAGTCTTTCAATAATGTTTCAATAAGGCCATGGGTGGTGTGTATCTTCTGGCTGACTCTCCGCGGTGGAATCTATTTTGGGTGTGTTAGCTAGTGGTGCATGGATCGATCAAAATATCGATATCAATACGAACATGGGTATTGATATTGATCAATACCAGTGTAATGAGATCAATACTTTAGCTTCAGTTTCACTGCTGCAGTTCATCAAAGATGCGAGTCGACTGTGTAAGTGCCGCTCCCGTCACAGCACAGCGCAACATTTCAAAGACAGAGAGGCTTCTGGGAATATTTCTTTGAACTCAAGGCTTTGGAGG